TTGTGAGCCAAAAACGCCCACTTTTTTCGGATTTTGCCTCTTTTTTTGTGCGTTTAAACGCGTTTTTCAAAAGTTTTGTCTGCTTGGGTATTTCAAGATTATTTTTTCTCTTGCATTATTTCCTATTTGATAAAATTTAGTGTACGTCATGCTCAATTACAAGTCAATGATGAATTAATGGCACAACGTGTTGAAAAAGTTGCACAACGTAGAGTTGAAGAACGAAATGAAAAAATAAAAAGTGCACGAAAAACGCGTTTTGATTTAAAATCAAATCCATTTTTTTCTCGACCGTCTGATAGTATAACAAAAGAATTTGTACGTTTACAACAAGAACAACAAGAACAAATTCAACAACAAAAAGTTCTTATTACTTCTCCAACACATATAATAGATTCATCACAAATAAATAATAATCAAAAATCATTAATATCAAATACACAATCATTAATTAATCTTGATGGAAAATCAACTAGTCCAAAAATAATAAAAAGAACAAAAAAATTAGTCGATTCAACTGACGATGATGAAAGTGGAACGCCAGAAGCAAGACTTGTTGAAACAAATTCAAATATTCGTAATAATTTATATCAAACATTATCAAATACAATAAAACGATCATCTATTAAATCAGCATCAAATCGTTCTATAATAACAACTGATACAATTGTAGTTGGATCAGTTCAAAAACTAAAAATGATATTTCCTTTGAGTTATAAAACAAAATATCGACATTTATTTTTATTAGATAAAATTGCTTATATTTATATTCAACTTGTTATTATGCTTGGACATAAAACAATGACCGGTGGACAATTTCGCAATTTTGCAAAGTTTGTTGAAATCATTTCTTATTCAATATATAATGATAATATTATTTCTTTTTGCTTTTCAATAGTATATGTGGAATTATTAATGAAACAATTACGGCACCAACTATTGATATACTTTATTATCAAATATTGCGAAAATGGCAACAATTTATTTTACGCAATTCTTCAACAGGTAGAATATTAAAAATTATATTTCATAAATGATTAATTTTCAATACTTAGTAGTTGTCCAAATAGTATTTAATTATTGGGTTGACTGTAAAAATATCGACGTGGAAAAGAGCTTCAGAAAGTTTTGACTAGCGAGAAACATGCTTTATTACATAGGGTAATATCAACATTCTAATGAAGGTCAAGCATAAGTAGGGAACTGCAAAATCACTTTTTTTTAGTCCCGGTCCCGGTCAAATTTTTTTCCAGTTCCGGTCCCGGTCTTTGACATTAGCTTCATTCCTAAAATCGAACAATTTTTTTTACGATCTATATACTTTTATAAATACATAAAATTGACATGAATGATTTTGATTCGTTAACAGTACGAGAATTCTTTTATATCCAGTGTTAAAGTGAAAGAATTTCATTGAAAACTCGAATAAAAAAAAAAAATAACCATTGAATTTTGTTAAAAATTCTCATGTACTTCGTAGTAGTCATTTACTCATTTCTCTCTTCTTTTATATCTACTGTTCTATCTAATGGATTTATTATCGAATTGATTATTT